CGCGGGGGGAGAGGGGGAGGATTAAGCTTAACTGGAACAACGGCTTCTACTGTACTATTTTAAATGCGATTTTTTGTTTTTATCTGCGTTTTAGTAGGGTATGACATGGCAATGCACACGCTAAGAAGGGATTTTTCGAAATTCCCCCGCGGGCGGGAGAAGGAGAGGATTTAATCTTCATCGAGTACTTCAGCGGTAGGTGTTATATAACAATTACTATGGTTATTGAAATATTGAATGTAAATGGGGTTTGCTTGCAAAACCTCCGCGGACGAAGTGGCGGGTAACAGCTAGTAATATCATAAAATAGGTAAAATCAATTTCATTTACACTGTAGAAAAACGCATTTAACTTCAACTTTACACGTAAAAATTACGAAGATTTGCTCAATATTTCGGATTTTTCTTATTTATAANGGTAACAGCTAGTAATATCATAAAATAGGTAAAATCAATTTCATTTACACTGTAGAAAAACGCATTTAACTTCAACTTTACACGTAAAAATTACGAAGATTTGCTCAATATTTCGGATTTTTCTTATTTATAATCCATTTTTATTTACATTTAATAAAATATAAATCGTAATTAATGAATTATTAGCGTGTAATTAAAGCTACAAGCCTCTGATCGGTAATGTTTTAACCATAAGGACATAGTAAGAAGTTTAGTTTTCGACTATGAGTGACGTCAAATAAGCAACCAATAAGAAGAGTTTCTTCTCTATGAGGCAACCTTATATTATAGCACCTTGGTGTTTCCCAACCTTTTTTGCGCTATGCCTACAGTGACCATATTTTTTGGGGGAAAATAAAGGACATATCGAAGAAAATCAAAAAATACCTTATAAAATTCATAAGTTTATAACATTTATTACGAAAATAGTAGCATACAACAATGCATACATTAAAATTTTAAACAATCTGAATTATTACACATACACACATTGTAAAAATTTAAATAACATTAATTTTGATACTTTTCAGTAGAATTAATTTTTTTTTTTA